GTCTACCTCAGATATTGCTAGATGTCCTAGTTTGCGATACTCCTCAATGAAATCAACATAGGCGGACTTAAGTTCCGGTTGCTTGCGAAAGCGACGTTCCAGGTTTATAAATCGCCGCCTGGCTATGAAATAGGAAGTGCCTAGGCAGTCTGGTTTGTCGATCAATGGCAGCTTGACACAAAAACGACCTTCTTCAGTGCGTTTTGTGTGCTGTAAAAAATGTTGTTCGCAAGCTTTCTCTTGGTCTGTAAGAAGGGGCCTTTGTGGCAAGCTTTCAAGCTCCCAAAACCTCTTCAAATCATTGTGAAGCTCAACTAAAGTATTGTTGCTTTCAATACTTACAAAATTACATTTCACTGGGGAATTTAAATTGAGATTGTCATTTTGAATATAGTGCATGGGACCTGCGATAAGCCATCCTAATTTAGACTCATGTAGAATAGGATTTCCTTTGCCTAAAGAGTGCTGTTTGGTTCCAATAATGGACCAAAATAGGTCAGCACCGATGAGCAGTCCTATGTCAGACGGCTCATAAAAGCTGGGGTCTGCTAATGCAAAGGACTTCAGGTTAAGGTGTGTAATAGACACAAGAGACTTAGGTATCTTACCTGATATTTGGGGTATGATTAAACATGACGTCATAACGCTGAAAGAACCTACCTTTGAATGAATTCGAACATTGCAACGTTCAGCATTAAGCTTGACAATAGTGTTACATATGCCGACCACATTCCTAACATCAGACGTGGAAGAAGTTAAATTTAACTTTGATTTAAGTGATTCTGTAATAAAGCTAGACTGACTACCGTTGTCTAAGAGAGCTTTAGTGGTAATGTAATTGATTGTTTTGGGATTAAAAATATCAACCAAAGCCGTACATAGTAGTGTCTCAGAAGCAGAAACAGCTGACATTGAAACTGGCTCAGAGACTGCAACATTAGTGACTGCCACATTGGTATCAGAATCCGTAGGTTTGTGTAAAAAGGTATTGTGACGTTTTTTGCATATTTTGCACGTACCTGGAAGCTTGCATGCGCGCGTATTATGCCCTTTGCGCAAACAGTTGGGACACAACTTTAGCTCGGACACTAATGAAAGTCTATCATCAATAGATTTCGATTGAAATTATGAGCACTCATAATTACGATGACCTTGACCACAGAAAATACACTTGTGAGGGGCAGTTGCTGATGAGTCGCCCTGCTCAGCGCTAACGAATGACTTAGTATGAGAAACGGGATTTGGTTTGACGCCTTGATTGTGATTCGGGTTTGACTTTATATTTTTGTCTTGTTTACTGCGATAAACAGACTCTAAAACTTCAGCGCGGCCCTTAATAAAAGTCATGAAATCATCTAGGCTAGGCATATCCGAAGCATTAACATTAGCTTGAATGTACTCCTCCCATTTAACACGCGTGTTGCTGTCTAATTTCGCTGAGACTATGAATATGATCAGGGTATCCCAATGATCAGTTGGCTGTTTTAAAGTATTTAAAGCACGTAGGTTTTTTGTGACGTGGTCTACTAGAAATCTTAATGACTTGTCAGACTCACGCAACGGCTCAATATTAAACAAAGACTTCAAATGATTATTTATTAATTGACGAATATTATTAAAACGCTCACAAAGAAGACTCCATGCCTCAGGATAATTATTGTCGCAAACTTCTAAATTACATATTACACGAGCAGCTTCACCTTCTAGATAGGAATTTAAATAATGAAATTTGTGTATATTTTTTATTTTTGTATTATTATGTATCAGAGAACTGAACGTATCACGAAATTCCAACCATTTGTTGAACGTACCATCAAACTTATTAATTTTAATGACTGGTAAACGAAAGCCGATAACTTCGTGATCATCTTCATCAGCTGTGTAAATACTGCTATGCTGAAGCGACGACTTTTTTGTCGTACTGCTTACGGAAATAATTTCCTGAGCCAATGCGATCGAATTGTGGAAAGCTTGTTCGATAACTTCTCTGGTATCCAATTCTAAGCTTAAATTATTTTCCTCCAATGCTTCAATCTGATTTTGCACGCTATCGAATTCGCCAAATAAAGTCTCAAGTTTAACTAATCGCTGCGATAGCACGCTAACTTCCGTAGGAGTAAGCTTTTTACCTTTTAATTCTTCTAAATGGTTATTAAATTTCGTAACACGGCCTCTAATTGAAGCGCGTTTTAAATTAAGAGTTTTGTACTTTGCCTCCATACTAGCAAAGTTAACGCGCAGACAATCAAAACAACTAGTTATGCGCTGTACTAATCAAATAAATAAGAATTGCATACAATACGTTCCTCGCTTCGTGGCCGCTGTGACGGAAACCGGTTCAAAATCAGCAGAAGCGCGGTGAAAGGTGGGATTGATGACGCGCGACGCCCGCGGTCCAGTACCACGACGTGAGCCCGCAGTGCTGGCAGTGACACGGGATGCGATGATAGTCTCGAGCGACCGCTGCACCGTAGCTGAAATTGATTGTTGGAATGCTTTGCAGATATCTCCGTACATAAAATAATAACGGGAAGCAAGGTTGATCGTAAATTTAATTGATTTGTGCAAATAATGGTTTAATTAGCGTAATATAGGGCTTAGCGAATGATTATGCTATAGTGATGACTAATTTATTTGCGTGCATAAACAGCTAACAGTGAATAGCGAGAAGTGAATTTACTTGCATTGAGGAGTTAAGCTCAAATTTTTGCGTAGCTATGTACATATGTATGCTTACGTTTAAAGAAATAGGTTCAGCTATTTAAATTCTAACTATTTAACAGTGGCTACCAACTAATTAAATGCTAGTGAAGACTTTCAAGTCGTAAAATAGGCGCAATGAATGCAAATTATAGGCGGCTTGAAAAATAGCACTGATTACCTAGCAAATGATACGGCTAAATAATAGTAAGAAATGATAGACAATTAGCTGATAGGTAAGCAAATAGGTGTAAATAGGTGATTTTAACTCGTTAGGTATGTAAATTGTCGGTAGGTTTATCTAGGTAATTCTTTTAGGTTTGTTTTAATAGGTATTTTATTTGGTAGGATTATTGAGTAGGAATAGCTTATTTAGATTAGCAGTTTTATATACGAAAGGGTATAAGATAGACAAGGAATATAAAGGATGTTGCTTAAGAATAGGTAGGTAGGGTAAGGCAACAAAAATAGGACTAGATTCCTTGTTTCCCTGTTCACACAAATAGAACTTTTAGGAATAGTGGGACACGAAGAGGTAAAATAATAGGAACGGGCTCACTTTTAGTTGGCAAAAACCGCTGCTGTGGCGCGTAGACTCCGCTGGACCTCAGCTTGGCCGGTTCTCAATAGCTGTCCTCTTGTCTTCTCTCCGCTCCAGATGAATTCTTCTTGACCGCTTTGTTGTTCTTAGGACTCGGGATGGTACGCCAATTTAATAATCTTCTTAGCTGATGTAGTAGATCGGCGTGGCTTCCTTTGTTCTCGTAGCTCGTAGTACTTGCGTTCGCGACGTTGTAAACGCGGGGTAAGTGCTACGACCTTTGGACCGTATTACGCGGCGAAATCGGAATTCGATATTTAAATTTATCACGGTCGCCACTATGTTCAATTAGGGAACATGAATAAAATAGGCGACTCACACGACAGGCAAATTGTATATTTAAAAGGAATGAAAAATACAAAATATTTGGTGGCGATCGGGTCGCGAGCTATCGGCGAGTGCCGGTCTTAGGCGTGGTGGTGAGAAACCCCCCGCACTTCACATACTCCCCGCAAACACCATCGGTGCTGTCGTAACGGCGCCGACACTAATATTTTTTTTTTATAGAATCGGGTGACAAACGAGCACACAGTCCACCTGATGGTAAGTGGTTGCTGTGGCCCATAGACATCTACATCTATCCTCAATAAAGACTCAAGATGCAGATGCGTTGTCACCCGTGAGGACTAAGATGGAATGCCTCTTTGCCAGTAAAAAAGATCTCCGGTTCTCTACACTCACCATACGAAACACAGCAGCGTTAAGCTGCTATTTTACGCTGGTTTTCTGTGAGAGCGTGGTCCTTCCCCGGTCGAGCCGACCCATTCGTGCTACAACCATAATATAGCTGCAGCATGGCTCTACCACGTAGAAAATAATAGCTAGGAGCCGCAGGAGAAGCAGGGCTATAAACATAAATAAAAAACCACATTATTTTAACTCTTATATTCAAAGTAACGAAATTAAATCTGACGGTATCAACTACCATAGAAAATCACTTTTTACACTATAGTTAAGTATTATAAATGCGTAACCGTAACGCTGTACTTCAATTTTATTAAAATTGTCTATAGACACTTTTCTCATAAGATATAAAATATACAATAATATTTACATTTATCCTCTTTATTAAGTCTAAACCATAAAATAGATTGTTAATACCTTTATTTATTTCTGCCTGAATGGAAATTATACATAAATATTTTTTAACAATGCAAGATATTTTATTTCAAAAATTATATAGTGATTATTTTTCTTGTAAATGAACATTATATTATTTATGAAAGTCTCCTCTTAATCATCAATTTAGAAAAACTATAAAATGATTGGTTTGTGATTTGTCACTAATGGTGATAATAAGTGCTAATAAGTGACTGTTAATTTTTATTAAACAGTACACTGTTAAATTAACATTTAAATATTTTTAAATTATTCAGAAACTTTAACTTACACATATTTGGATAAGTCACAAAAATATTTGAAAACATTTATTACTCAAATGTTTAGAATTACAAGGCGGAATATTAAATTTTAACTCAAAAGAGGTAACTTTTATTATTTGCAAATTAAAGGACTAAAATATTATATTAAAATAAAATATTTCTTAAATAAAATAGCACAACACAGATTGATTTATTGTTAGAATCAAGGGTTATTACAATTCAAAATAAATTATACTGCCTTTAGTTAAAGTATTTACTGCATCTTTTATTAATCAAAATCACTTTTGCCTCCTACTTGGCTTCACATCTAGCAATCACTATGCTTTTTCTTCCTTTTCTCTGTTATACCGTTCTAATTCTTTAAGAAACTGTCCTTTTGGTTTCATCACATTAGGTCTATCACCACGGCACTTAGGGCAAAACCACTTGCCCTTTGGTTTGGTAGTGAGCGAGACACAGGAGAAGTGGAACCATTCAATAGGGCAAAGATCATTGTCACATAATATCATTTCGCCAAATGATATCTGATCACAGAGGCAATACCTAGGTTCATCAGGATCAATTGCATCATTTTCTTCTGGTGGTGTCTCAGATCGTTGTGCTGCTTGTCTCGCTTTGCGCTTTTTCTTTTTCCCAATACCTATAAAAATATTAGTTTCGTGTTTAAGATTTATATTTAGAGTAACATTGAGATTTTTAATAGAAGAAAAGAATTATTAAAATTAATAAAAAGTAAGAGTCAACTTCAAAGGGCCAAAAATACTAAAATAATTACACATTCTGAAGTTGGTGCTAAGACATAGTGTATAGAAGAATGAACGCCCCAACTTCTGGGCTTTTACCTTTGATTAAAATTTTTTTTCACCATTTTGAGTGGAGTAAGGAATATCTAGTAGTAATGTCTAGTCTTTGTAAAAAAAGCCATATATTGCAGCCCTTAGGACATTTTTTCCTCTGAATTAAATTAATAAAAAAGAATTACCAAAATACAGTAGAATCTGTTTATTATGACTCCGCTTATATGGACCAACCGCTCATTATAACGTAATTACACAGCGAAGTTTGGTTTTCATATAAAATTCTTTATAATAAAGTTGGATATAATGACTTCACTTATAGTGACATGTCGCTTATTGTGACCCATTTTTACTAAATTGTATCCAGTTATAGACATGATTCCTAACACCTGCGGCTTTTTTTTGTTTTGAGTCTCAGTGAGATTGTTGAGGGTCACGGCATTGTTTGTTAGTGATTTGTGAAAAAAATGAAATCTCAACGTCAGTGCACGTGCAGTTTAGAAAATGGAGAATCCAACTAATCTCTCGCAAGGGAATTTGGGGTTGGTTACTCGACAATCTCAATGATTTTTAAAAACAAGAATTTATTATTAAAAATTTAAATTACTTTATCTAAAGATTTATCTCTATTAAAATAAATACATACTAACAAAAACTGGAGATTGTTTATTTTCTACAAAATGCTTTATCCGCTAAGTATGACGTGTTTGTTACTTTCCTTCGATGTCATTATAAACGGATTCCACTGTAGATTCACAGCTGACGTAAATATTGCATAACATATATACAGTTGAATTGAAAACCTTTTTTAAAGTCGCTTAAAACAATATAATTTAATAGATAGACTATACTTTGCTTAACCATATTATATGTTATTACTATTCATACAATAAGTTACGGGGCGAGGGCCGCAGATTCAAATTCTAAATGTAACAAGTATTTTAGTGGCCTACAAATAATATTTGCTGGTCTGGATGTTTATCCTTGTACAATTTATGTATGTAAACTGCCTCCACGATACAGGAGAAATTCCTTGTGTGGGAAAATATATATATTTTTTTAAGGAAAAAATATTTATAGGAAGCCATTTTTACTATACCTTTCTTATGTGTAGTATTATGTGCATGGCGTTCACTGTCACGTTCACTGGATTCTGCACCATCTGTAGCTGCACCTGCTGTAGTTCGAGAACGTCTTGCTCGTTTAGACCACCTCTCCCCTATTAAAAATGTAAAATATTTTTTTATATTGTTTGACCTTTACATTTATTTTCATAACATTCAAATATACAATATTTATTACAATAATAAAAAATAAAAACTGAATATTATTTTTTTACAGCTATTTTAAGATTATCATCATGTTATTTATCAACTGCAGCGTGAAACATTGAAATACATAAGTTGATTTTGTAAATAATGTCTATTTACAAATACAACATTTTTTAAATATGAGTGATTAGAATATTTTCAAAAATATTATTATGAATACAGAAAAGTTGTAACAACCATACAACTCTACAAAAATATACAGGTTTATTTTTCAGAGTATATAATTGAACTTAAGTTCAATTATATAAATAATGATATATCATTATTGCAGGTTTTGAAAATACGAGTAAATAAGGCTTCTACTTTTATTTGAAATTATCCCAAATTGAATGTGATTTATGGGCAATGTTTTTACCTCCTATTGACCCTTAAGAATGTATACATGCACAGTAAAATCAGTTCAAATAATGCATTACCACACATTTTGAATTTAAAAGATAAAAACGACAGAATTTTGGAGGTTTCTTTCAATTAATTTTTCTTCACCATTTGCCCATATTACTTATTTTGACTTGAACCTGCTCTACCAGTTTCACCGGTTATTGCAAAATAATACTGTATACTAAGCATTGATAGTCACTAAATACTTTATTAATAGTTTTAGGCTTCATATCATCATTAACATTATATTTTTTTCAGGAATATCACGTCAGGATAAATTAGGAATGATTTTAAAACTGAAAGAAGTATTAAAAATTACCTCCACTCTTATCCCGTTCTTTCTCTTTTTCTTTCTCATTATTACGTTCTGGAGGAGGAGGTGGTGGGGCTTGTTGTTGCTGTGGCTGAGGTGTAATGCTTTCTTTATCCCCTGTTCGTATGGACTCAGTAGCTGGTGAAGGTTCTTCTTTTGCTATTCCATTTGTATTCACTTCAAGGCAAGAAACTGAAAGTACATAAAATTGGTTATCATATATTGTATGTATTAAACTTAGAAAGATTTATTACTTTGCTAAATTTTATTTTCCAATGGCAACGTTAACATTGTACTTGTACTAACAATAAATACAATTTCATAGTTTTTGTGCAAATGCTTTAGAATTTCGTGGCACAAGGATGTGACATTCCCATTGCATTTAAACTTAATTTTTGAAAATTTCATGTTAAAATCAGTTTTTAGTTAAATTATAGAAACAAAATAAGTTGTCTTGTTATCAAAGTATATGGGTTTGAGGGGATGGAAGCGAGGTGGTAGGGGTGCACCTCCCCGCCGAATATCCCTAGTTCTTAATAGTCTCATAGTTTTTGAGAAAAAAATAACATAGGCAATAAATGTTTACTGGTTTATACATCCAAATAACAAAAAAACTATAGAAACAATCTTGATAACTACATATTTCTGCGTAAAATGCTGCTAGGGTGTCGTCCAAGCATTATTGTACATTGATAAAGGCCAAAATCACCAACAATTTTAATGTAATCATAAAAATAGATACAGCTAGGAATTTAGTATGTTAATATACTTACTAAGGTTTTTATGGTCGGCATCAAGAGACCTCTGTTTATTGTCAATAAGATCCTGAAGGATCTGTACAACCTGCAGTTTTTCATCACCAATTTCTTGTGCTGCGACAAGTGCAGCTTGCAATCGTAAGGCAGCTCGACTACGACGTCTCTCTTCTGTATTTGGCCCTATGCAAACACCTAAATGTGTTTCTGCATCACGAAGACATTCTGAGAAAAAAGTACAATCAACTACACCAAAATCTTTCAATCTGGATTAGGTATAATAATCTATAAGGTTGGTTTAAAATTATATACACAGTATATCAAAATATGATGATAAATAGCCAACAAATTTTAATGTCAAACATATTTTTGACATCATGACAGAAGTCTTTATGAATGAAATGGATAGTAAATTTATGATAGTCAATAGCCATCTCCGAATAAGTACAATGCTGAATTATTTCGGAATCTATTTCCTCCAAAGTCATGTCTATACTGCGTATGCGTATACAATACATAGAAACAGAAAACGTCAACATAACGTAAATAATGATATGACCTAAGGCAAATACAATTGCAATTGTAACTTTTATAATTTTAATTTAATAACTAATCGGTGGAGCTATTAAAAATATAAGAATTACCTCTATAAGTTACGTCGAGCTCTCTCATACGCGATAAATGTCGCTGCAAATCATTTGGAAGATTTTCAACACAATCTAAGTAATTCTCAACGTAGGTGGCCGATAAAGCTGCTTCCGTAGATGTTGAATTCAACATGGTTAAATATTTAATTCAGTTTTCATTATTACAACACAGAGAATTCTAAAAATTTAAACACTTTCAAAACCAAACAAATTCTAGCACTCAACAGCCGTCACAAGCTTGATAGCACAGAGTACATTATATATAGGGAACTTGATAGATGTAGATGGTACGTTCAGAAACTCAAATTAAGATTTACTATACTCTTTGGTTTAGAAAAACACACCATAGACAAATTAGTAAGAATAAAAGTGTGTTTGTGACTTGTGAATACATTTATAGTCTATTTTTACTTTTCTAGATGTTTAGTTCATTAATATTTTTATTTCATTTTAAATTAAATTAAATTAAAAATCCATTTATTTCTTTCTCAAGGCATACTAAATAATAAAGTAATTGGAGCCTCCTAGTAAGTATAAAATAATATCTGTTTCAGGAGGCACCGCTCTTCCTAATAACATTAAATATTGAGATAAGCCGAGCAAGATTACCTATGATTTAGAGTAGGTGTGTGTGTGTGTGTGTGTGTGTGTGTGTGTGTGTGTGTGTGTATGGGTGTGAGTGCGTGTGTGTGTGTGTTTGTGTGTGAGTGTGCGTAATTTTATTTAATTCTCTTCTATTCTGATAAACAAATATATTATCTAATTCCGTGACGTAGTATGTTTTCTGTGGTGTGATAAGATAATTTTTTAAGATGATCGGTATGTATTTTTTTACATTCGCGATAATTAAGCCGGTGAAAGTTTAATTTTTTATTTAAATAATTATACATATATCTTGATTGGGCACAGTACTGTCTCTCAGTATTTTATATTTTACATAAATTTGTTTAATTTTGTTTATTTTATGTTATTAGTTTAATTATTTTCTATTTTGGTAGTAATTCATTTAATTATCTGAATCGAGGATTCGAGGAACAAGCATTATACTAGTCTGTGGATCAGATCAAAGAATGGAGTACCTCATGGTACCTACTCCATATAGTAGAAGTGTGTGCACTGCGAAAAATAATAACTTTTTTCATTTAAAATCTGAATGAATAAATAAAATATGATATCCAGCAGGACCGAACATGCTTGTATAACTTACCATTTGTCGGTTTTGACGGCATGGCGCAGTGGCTTAGCAATGAGTTGTTGAGCTGGGGGCCGCGGGTTCGAATCCCGCACGGAACAAGTATGTTTATGGCCTACAAATAATTGTTCCGGCTCTGGATGTTTGTCTACGTGTAATCTATGTTTGGGAACTGCCTAAACGATACAGGAGAAAATCCTAGTGTGGGAGTAACGTTTAAAAAAAATGTGATCAGTTATATGCAGAACGTTCCTATATACTAATTAATAATAAATAAGTATTGATTTTTAAAACAGCTTTTTTAATTTTTACTCAACTAATCATTATGATTTTATACTAGCTGTCCCTCGCGACTTCGCCCGCGTGGAATTTACTACAGTTTCATGGGTTTTGATTTCTTGCACGGAACCCTAATCATTTTTCTAAAATAAAAGTATGCTAAGTTACTCTTTATAACATCAGCTATCTGCTAGTGAAAGTCCTGTCAAAATCGGTCCAGCTGTATCGGAGATTAGCTGGAACAAACAGACAGACAGACAAATAATTTTAAAATTTTTTTCTTTTTTATTAGCACCGTATATACTTTCATATTCATTTAGTAAAAAGCTGTTATTTTAACATTACAATCAGACACTTCAATTTTATTTATTTGTTTAGATATAGATTAAAAATACCATAATATGAGATTATAATATGGGATCAGGGATCCTCACAGAAATCTAAATAATATAGAAGTAGTAAAAGCGCGTGACCTTGTCGCCGCACATGTGACTCGTAGGCCACAAGTTCGCGAAGAGCGTTTGTTTCGGTCACCAGTGTTGTTTCGGACGCAGAGACGAAAAAATGATGTATATCCAACTGCGGAAATTCTTCCACAAGTTGTAACTTTTCAAATAAAGGGATAACATTTGCACAACTTTCCATTGACGTCCGTCGAGTTGGGGGGTTGATATTTTTATTACAGAAAGGTTACATAATAAAAAAGCACACACGCATAGATTTAACAATCGGAGATGCGTACTTTTTGAGAGAAAAAAATATTGAAAATCAACTACATTTGCAATATTTATGTCAATTAATACCGTAAAGCTGACGCTATTTTGTATTGTCATTGTTATCGTCAGTAGGGATGTCGATTCCTTCCGAAAAAGATGTATCGATTCACAAAAAAAAATCGATAGAAATATCAACCTCCAACTCGACGGACGTCAATGGAAAGCTAAGCCGATAACATTTCATAAATATGTACTTAGTGTTTTAAATCATGTTGGTTTAAATGAAATAAACTTAAATAAAATTATATACTTCCCAGTACTACGATTGTCTCCGAAAATGAAATTGTTTTCACATTTCAATATCCATAGATTTTAAAGATAGTTCATGTCTACGAGTACGATCGCTAAAAGTAGCGATGGATTTATAGTATGGGCAATAAACAATATTGTGGCGTACGTAAATTTCCAAGCACACAAGCACACCTATAACAACAATAATAAATAACAATTAATACCGAAAAGGCAACTTTTAAATAAGTTTTTATATTTTAAAGGGCAGTGAATTTTAAATATTTTAATTACGGCGAATTTTGCCATAGGCTATTTATTTTATATTTTTTTATTGTTCTTGTTGTTTTATTTATTGTAGTTTCCCACCGCAAGCTGAAGTGTTGGAGAGCCTTAAAGTTTTATCTAATACAAATCTATAAGAATGTATGTGAATTTTTAAATAATGTTAAAAATGTATGTGTAATTAATTAAAAACGTTATAATTATCCTTAACGTTTTATTATATCCCCTTTTCTCTAATTATAAAACGTCTAAAAGCTTAAGCTAAGACTAAAAGCGTCTATTACTGAGACAATTTCAATTAACTAATGAAATCTCTTAATAGAAAGTTATCGAAACGAGCGTTGCGCTGCACTATGCTCAAGTGAGAGTGAGCACGCAATGTCATTCTCTGTTTTTTGCAAACGTTAATTATTGGCCCGAGTGGCAACGCCTCTTGACATTTTGCGTTTTTTAAAATATTCCTTAACGCGATAGTTCATAGTTTAATCTTTGTTGCATGAATTCTAGAGATATCTGTAAGCGTAATAGTGTATTTATTGTTTGTGTATGTGTGATAGCTTCGAACCGGCGACACGCGTCCCGATATTGAAAGACAGTGGAAGGTATTTCTAGTGCCTTATTTCGCATATTTCGTTTCTGTGGGTGTCCCCATGCCAGTAATATTGTACAATAAACAAAGGTATTTGGTATACAAGCAAAAATATTCATCTTCCCTCTACTCTGTCAATATTATTTTTTATTGTGTGCGTTATATTATAACTTATAACGTTTTAACTTTGCTCAAATATGATGAAAAAAAATTGAGTAAGTACTTAGCACACTCAGATCATTGTTTAAAACAAGTTGTAAGTTAGCTGCCTGCATACTTAACTCTTTGTTTGACTGTAATTAACAAAAAAAAATCTGTAGCAGAGTATGCACTGCGTTAGTGTGTATACGCGGTGAAGCAGCTCAAGCGAATCTTAAGGGATAGCAATCAAAATCTTATTTAACAACCCAACAATATCCGTTGCTTCATGTGATTGCAAAATTCGTTTCCTCGACAACAAAAACGGAGCAATGGATATTGTTAAACTGTCAAATTGGTATGGTTTGCCATTTTAGGTGTGTTACGCAATTAGACTACGGATTTAATTTCTATCTACACAAAAGCAATAAAACTGTCAGACACATTATTTATTCCTCAGATAAGTTATTTGACGGTTGAAAATTCAGCCCTATACCTATATAAATACCTACGAAACAAAGTAAATTAAGCAACAAATTCAATTATATGAAATGAGAACAAATTCATATTAGTAAAAATATCGATATCAGCTGCCCATATTGCTGAGTTACAACCCTATAAAAGATGACCATTTTATGCGCCAGATTTCTGTAGGTAGTCACGCGAATTCTGTAGGTATAAATAGTCCATATACTTCTAAGTCAGTGTTCTACCTATCTACGCATAGAGCAACACAGGAGGGGAGTCGCCCTAACGTTATTTTCCGATACCAAACTGTCTTTCAATTTTTCGAGAGGAAATCTGCGCTACGCAAATTTTCTTAAACTCCCACACAAAAATAATCGTCTATCACTACGAAACTCAAATATAATTAAAATAATACATTAACAATTTTACACACACATAGAATATTCTGTGTAACAAGTACAGTGTAAAGAAGTGACGCAACTACATTCACAAGTTGCATACAGTCAGAGTTGGGCCGTATTTGAATTACTTGTAATTAGAATACGTATTTAAAATACAAATACGTATTTGGTATTTGTATTTCAATTACTTCCTAGCCTCCCCCAAGGGATGCCACAAAGCACGGTCCTGAGCCAACATCATCCATCGACTTCCCGCATGTCTTACCAGGTCGTCACTCTATCTCATGGGGGGTCGCCCTACACTTCGCCTACCAGTACGAGGCTGCCACTCGAGAACCTTTCTTCCCTATCGGTTGTCGGTTCTTCGAGCTATATGGCCAGCCCACTGCCACTTCAGCTTACTAATCCGTTGGGCTATGTCGGTTACTCTGGTTCTACTGCGGATATCCTCATTACTAAGTTTATCACGCAGAGAATCCCCGAGCATAGCCCTCTACATAGCTCGCTGAGTGACCTTGAGCTTACTCATACGGCCAGCAGTGAAGGACCACGTCTCAGATCCGTAAGTCATCACTGGCAACACGCACTGGTTGTACAATTTCGTTTTAAGGTTTTGAGGTATGTCTAACGTGAAGTATGTCAGTAAAATTGAATTCTAATAACCATGTGATTACTTTTCATTACGAATTTTAATTGAATTATATGTAAGGATGAGAATTCACTATATCATTAAAAAACAAAAGACAATTTAAGAAAACTCAATAATAAATGTCGTAA